GTGGCCCTCATCTGATCTAGCAGCTCGTCCGTGCAGCTCATCTTTGGTCTCAGCTGAATCAGAGTGCCACTTCTCTCAAGATTCAGCAGAGAAAACAGCACTGAACAGAATGCTTTTCCTCCCAATTGCTGCTCTGTGTTGCCTCTATCCAGGTGAGTGTTTTCAGCCAATCAGGAGCCGATAAAATTCACCTGGAACAAACAAAAACCTCTCCTTCATCTTTCTGTGTCTCTACAGGCCTGGCTTCCATGGCAGCACGGCTGTATCAGGAACCTCTGACAGTGACAAAGACAGCAGGTCAAGGAGCTTCCATTGAGTGCACTGGTTATGAAATATGTGATACAGAGTTTGTTTACTGGTATCAGAAAAAGGATCCAGAAACCTTTGTACGGATTCTTCGATTTGATCTTAATAAAGAAAAATGTCAATACTTTGGTGCCTTTAAAAGCGAAACATTTTCAGCTCTTAAAAAGAAAGGCGTTGAACTGATAATCACCGGTGCAACCAAGGCTCATTCAGCCACCTACTACTGTGTCTGTCAGAAGTCTGTTTCCCACAGAGGGAAATCAGCCCTGAAACCTGAACAAAAACCACCGGAGCACAGCAGATGATTAATGAGGCAGAGAACGTTCAGGACACATGAGAGATTGTGAGGAAGTATGTGAACACGCTGTTAATTTGCAAGTTCTCCCATTTAGAAATCACGGATGGGTCTGAAATTGTCATCATAGGTGCATGCCCACTGTGAGAGATATAATCTAAAAATAAAAATCCCGAAATCACAATATATTTTAAACTATTTTTTGAAAGTATGTTGGATCTGCAACACTAATTGCAGATCCAGCATACATCAATAAATGTTTGTGTGAATCACACTGATCTGTCTGCTTCGACTTCTGAGTCCTTAGTTCTGAGCCTTGAAAGCTCCTATTGTTGCAGCTCTTTGATTGACAACCAAAACATAGTCCTTCAGTTTCAATTTAATCTGGAATTGCTTTTTCAATTTACTTCCTGCATTTCTGGAAAGTGACTTCTTACAGAAGTTATGACTGTCTTTTCATTTGAACTTGTAGTTTGTGTCTTCGCTTCAAAGCTTTGATTTCTGTAAACTTTTCTTTTTAGTCTCACTTTGTTTCAGTGAGTGCAACGATGTGACAGGGTTGCAGGTGAACTGCCTGGGGAACTGGTTACTCTCTCTTGGACTTTCGATTCCATCTTTCCATTAACCTGCAGAGATGGCAAAAGTACTCACTTTCCGTACTTGAGTAAAAGTATAGATACTTGTGTTAAAAAATACTCTGGTAAAAGTGGAAGTACTGATTAAACTTCTTTACTCAAGTAAAAGTAACAAAGTACAGGCTTATAAATTTACTTAAAGTATAAAAGTAAAAGTAGAAACCACTTTTTTCATGCCGTTGCCTACATTTTAAATGAATGTCTGCCAATAGGACTAAAACATTATATATATATATATATATATATATATATATATATATATATAATCTGACAGAGACTGGGACTCCAGGTTATTAAGATTCTGACTCATTAGCAATATATAAATTCATTTGTGATTTTGTGAGAATTCACAGGCCCAGTTTCTCTTTTTTAATCTTGCCATTAACATTTGGAATCTGCATGTATATGTGCGTGTTCAAATATGGCAACAAGAACAAGAAAAGAAAGGATAATATATGACTTACTTAACAGATATTAACGAAGTTCCCCATACTTGTAGAGTTGCAACTAACAGATGGCAGCAGCGTATTTGAAATGAACTGACAGCTAGTAAAGCTTTGAACATAGAGTGTTAATAAAGGGTAATGTCAATTTTTACAATTTAAGTGCTTTAAAAGTTGGAGAAATTACAAATTCAATGTGCATTGTATTACTTTTTTTATTAATATGAAAAATAGACAATAGACATCCAGCCAAAGAAAGTGATGTATGCCTACAAATCTGTTTCTGTACATGGATTTGTCCCTGAATCCCTTCAAGAACTTGGGAGCAACAAGGGTATTCAGACCTTCTGTAATGCTTAAAGTGTCATAACTTAACTTCATAATCACATAACTGTTAGTAGGACAGTGGGTTTTAAAAAGTAGTTTGTAGATCCTGTATATTTGCACACAAATTACACAATTTTCTTTATAAAATAGCTGGCCAACCACCTTCATCAAACTAAGCAAAAACTCTATATTACATTGGTGAAAAGTCTGGAACAAAAAGGCTTTTCATTGAGAGCAGGAGCTCAAAGTTAAAGAAAAATGTAAGGGACATAGAGAGAGAGACCGAAAGTGATCAAATGTACAGTAAGGTTGTAAAGCAGCAGCTAGCTTAACTCTGACTTTTGTATGCAGTGTTGCCAACTCAGCGACTTTGTCGCTATATTTAGCGACTTTTCAGACATCTCCAGCGACTCTTTTTCAAAAAAGCGACTAGCGACGGTATATTGTCACGACAAAATCTTCAGTCAAACCTTTATGAAAGTTCTCTTCTTAGAATACTATTGACTTTAGCGTCCAAGATCCTTTTGGCTTTGTCTTTGCGTCTTCTTACTTCTTTCCATGGCATATCACTCTAATCCTAAGAACCTTCCACGTTGTCTCCCTATTTCCACCTGCATCTTCGGACAGTCGTGTTTATTTGAAGTTGCTCCAAATCCACCGTGAAAACTGAATAATGTTGACAAATATAATAATTAATGTGACAAAAAATAACTTGCAGAGATTATGAAATAATAGTCAAATGATACGACTGGCATAAAATCAAATACAAACAGCATAAAAATAAAACAACAAGCCGGTCCCATCTAGGCGTAATCGGAGACAATGACACATGAAGTGTGCTCCTGATGTCCAGTCTGCTTCGTAGCTTTGTTTTGGTCGATGCAACCACAGAAAATCCCGCCTCACAAAGATAGGATGTTATAGATAGGATGAGTCTTGAACTGAATTAAGCACAGATGCACCGACTTATGTAATTGGGAGAGAATACCGCAATTTTTTATATTTTTCAAAATAAAACATCACTCAGACTCTGATCGTCGATAAATTATATATATATATATATATATATATATATATATATATATATATATATATATATATATATATATATATATATATATATATATAGATATACATATATACTTTATATATATATATAAAGTATATATATATATATACTTTATATATATATATAAAGTATATATATATATATATATATATATATATAAAGTATATATATATATATATATATATATATATATATATATACTTTTTTCTGTGCGGTCCGGTAGTTGGGGACCGTTGTACTAGATGACTTATTATAAAAAATACATCTTAAATGAATTCTTATTAGACAATTACATGGTTAATGGCAAGTACTCATTAGCGCCTTTTTTCAAGTCAGGAGACTTGACCAAAGCGCTTTACACTACATTCATTCACCCATTCACACACACACTGATGATGGCAAGCTACATTGTAGCCACAGCTGCCCTGTGCCTCACTGACAGAAGGGGGGCTGCCGTACACTGGCCCCACTGGGCCCTCTGACCACCATCAGTAGACAATGCAGGTGAAGTGTCTTGCCCAAGGACACAACGACAATGAAAGTCAGAACCGGGGCTTGAACCGTGTCGCCCTACCTTAGAAAAGGAAAAGAAATTATATAATTTACACAATAAGCATAAATGCAACAATTACAAAACCTCTAAGGTGTCCAACGGACCAACGGAAATATTTTAAAGCCATGCCTAACTGAAAGTGTAAACTTTCAGTCATTGGATATGTTCCTACCATTCTTCCTTATTAGAAATATTTTACTGATATATATATCAGTGTAGTTCTGTTTCTCTGACTGTGACTGCCTGGATGTGCTCTCTTCCTACTTTGACACAGGAGCTGACTCAGAGCTCGGCTGCCTGGCTTTGTGTTTCCTGAACGGGACCCTCTGTGGAGCTGTTTGACACTTGCCTTTTTCATCTCTGCTTCTTTCTGTATGACTGCTTCTTTTTCCTTGAACCCCAGTCGGCCTCCACAGATGGCTGCTCAGATTGAACTTGTTCTGCTTGAGGTTTCTTCCTGTTAAAAGGGAGTTTTTCCTCTCCACTGTTGCTACAAGCAAGCTTAGTGTGAGGGATTGCCTTAGAGTCAATGAGTCGATGCAATAAACTGGTTTTCCTTAGATAGAAAATTTTGAATCAATTTGACTGTATGGTCTGGGGAACCATAAAGTGTCTTGAGATGACATGTGATGTGAATTGGTGCTATAGAAATAAACTCAATTGAATTTAATTTAATATAGTATATGTTCTTTGGCGCTCTAGCCCCAGCAGAACAGTTTGATGCTGTGAATTAACATGTGCTCAGATGAATAGCTTAGCAATAGGATGAGAACAGGCTTCCACTTGGCATGCTAGGCAGACAGGCAACACAGGCAGCTGCCAGGGGAGCCATCTGCCGGACAGGACACAAAATTGTAGAATATAAAAGAGATTTAAAAGTCTATATTAGATCAATTATTTAAAAATACTCAAAATTTGCATCTGAAAGACATTAAAATAAAACCTCAACATTTAACTTTTTTGCAATGATTTGTCTGTATGACCAGTGCCTACAGTACTTTGACGCTTGTTTTGACTGTTTTGATGGGTGAAGCAGATGACCTTTGTCCCAACTGCATTAACACATTTGTTGTGTGAAAAATGATTTGAACTAAATTAGTCAACAAACCAGATACAAATAAGGGCAGGGAGACAAAGAGAATTGACACACAGTAATGTTTGTCCTGTGCTTCAGTCTTAAATACTTGTACTTTTTGAAGGACCTTCACTTCTATCAGAATCTTCACACAGTTCTCTTCTGTCTACAACCTTAACTTTGCAGAAAACTTGTTGCTTACATCTGGCCACACCCTGCCGCCCTCACCCTTACAGAAGCTGGATTCTACCTCCCACCTTAGCCTTAGAGGTTTTTGTATCAGGGAGTTACACCGTGGGAGGATCAGCGGATAAGAAGTATCTCATCTTTGGGACTGGAACAAAACTTAACATAACTGGTAAGAAAACTACTTTTTCATAATTTCGTCTTTCACCGAGATGCAAGTTAAGTTTTGAGAATATAAAATATGCTCACACATCCCAAAACAAAAGAAATTATTTAATGTATAAAGTTGGATATCAGTTGTTTTCATAAAACCCTCTCAGGAGGTTTATGTTTAGCCACTTGATTCCTGGAATCAAACACAGAAGCCAAAAATTCTGGACACCCAGAAAAGGTTTTCGGCTCCGTTCTTCATTTGAATTTTTCCTGAATAGTCACTTAAATCACAGGTTGTCTATCTGACAAAAGATATTCTGTAGGTTTCATTTTAAAATAATTACGATTTCAGGGTGGCTAATATTTAACATAATTTTAACTTAAAATTAGACATTTTTGTTAAAAACTTTTATTAAAAAAATTGAATCTAATTTGAATCTAAGTAAAAGTACAGTAGATAGGTTCATATACATTAATTGTCTCCATAATTAGGCTAATAATCATTTATAAAATTATCCAGCATACAACAAAAAATATGAAAATATTTTTTTCTCTAAAGTAAAGCCGTAAAAAAAACGTTTGTTTTCGGTAACTGACTCACCCAAAGCTGTTGTGTTTTTTTTAACCTGTTTCCTCAGGCTAATGTGATTGAAATCGTTTACCTCAAAATCCGTTTTGGTGAATTCTGAATCAATCTAACAATAAAGTAGGGATTTAAAAAATACATCAGAGGCAGTACATCCTAGTAATATTTATTTTCATTCTGGATAATTTAACATTTTAGGCTTCTAAATTAGCACCTTACTTATTTGTGGTGGGGTTTTATTTTTTGTTCTTTTGTTTTTTGTTTTTTTTTTGTAAAATAGACTTTAATATTAACAATTCACAAATTTGAGTGAATAAAATATGGCAGAGTTTGTGTGGTCAAGTTTATTAAATTATATTAAATTATTATTTAGTTCCCGTTTACAGCTTTATTGTGTAATAATGAAATACTTTTCTGCCTATATGAAAATGATTTAATTAAATCAATACAAATCACAGGAAACTTGGTACAAAGATAAAACAAAATTCAAAATATTTCCTTTTAGATTTCAATATTTTCCTTCCTATTCAATAAAATGTTTTAATAAAAAAATATAAGATCTTAGAAGCACCAGAATAAAATAAATTAAAATTCAGCCAAACACCAAAATAGAGTGTGATATATGCCGCTGCAGTACATATTGTTGTTTAAACGGTGATTGATTCTCGCTTTTCAACTTCAAAGGTACTCAGATAAATAGAGCATGATTAAGTAGTTAAATATATATTGAAATAAATAAATTTAAATGTACCATAAAGGTACAAGAAAATAAAAAAATGGCCAATTCAATAATTAGACTTAACATTAAATCTTAAAACATATGGTTTAATATTCAAATTGGCCATTAAATATTTGAAATTATTTTAAATGATGACATAAATAGCAAATTTAAAGTTTAAATGTATGTAAAGTATATTTAGATTTAAATATATATAATATATTTATTTAGTTCCCGTTTACAGCTTTATTTTGTAATAATGAAATACTTTTCTGCCTATATGAAAATAATTTAATTAAATCAATACAAATCACAGGAAACTTGGTACAAAGATAAAACAAAATTCAAAATATTTCCTTTTAAATTTCAATATTTTCCTTTCTATTCAATAAAATGTTTTAATAAAAAAAAAGATCTTAGAAGCACCAGAATAAAATAAATTAAAATTCAACAAAACAACAAAATAGAGTGTGATATATGCCGTTGCAGTACATATTATTTAAATAGTGATTGATTCTCGCTTTTCAACTTCAAAGGTACTCAGATAAATAGAGCATGATTAAGTAGTTAAATATATATTGAAATAAATAAATTTAAATGTACCATAAAGGTACAAGAAAATAAAAAAATGGCCAATTCAATAATTAGACTTAACATTAAATCTTAAAACATATGGTTTAATATTAAAATTGGCCATTAAATATTTGAAATTATTTTAAATGATGACATAAATAGCAAATTTAAAGTTTAAATGTATGTAAAGTATATTTAGATTTAAATATATATAATATATTTATTTAGTTCCCGTTTACAGCTTTATTTTGTAATAATGAAATACTTTTCTGCCTATATGAAAATAATTTAATTAAATCAATACAAATCACAGGAAACTTGGTACAAAGATAAAACAAAATTCAAAATATTTCCTTTTAAATTTCAATATTTTCCTTTCTATTCAATAAAATGTTTTAATAAAAAAAAAGATCTTAGAAGCACCAGAATAAAATAAATTAAAATTCAACAAAACAACAAAATAGAGTGTGATATATGCCGTTGCAGTACATATTATTTAAATAGTGATTGATTCTCGCTTTTCAACTTCAAAGGTACTCAGATAAATAGAGCATGATTAAGTAGTTAAATATATATTGAAATAAATAAATTTAAATGTACCATAAAGGTACAAGAAAATAAAAAAATGGCCAATTCAATAATTAGACTTAACATTAAATCTTAAAACATATGGTTTAATATTAAAATTGGCCATTAAATATTTGAAATTATTTTAAATGATGACATAAATAGCAAATTTAAAGTTTAAATGTATGTAAAGTATATTTAGATTTAAATATATATAATATATTTATTTAGTTCCCGTTTACAGCTTTATTTTGTAATAATGAAATACTTTTCTGCCTATATGAAAATAATTTAATTAAATCAATACAAATCACAGGAAACTTGGTACAAAGATAAAACAAAATTCAAAATATTTCCTTTTAAATTTCAATATTTTCCTTTCTATTCAATAAAATGTTTTAATAAAAAAAAAGATCTTAGAAGCACCAGAATAAAATAAATTAAAATTCAACAAAACAACAAAATAGAGTGTGATATATGCCGTTGCAGTACATATTGTTATTTAAATAGTGATTGATTCTCGCTTTTCAACTTCAAAGGTACTCAGATAAATAGAGCATGATTAAGTAGATAAATATATATTGAAAAAAATAATTTAAATATACCATAAAGATACAAGAAAAAAAAAATGGCCAATTCAATAATTAGACTTAACATTAAATCATAAAACATATGGTTTAATATTAAAATTGGCCATTAAATATTTGAAATTATTTTAAATGATGACATAAATAGCTAATTTAAAGTTTAAATTTATGTAAAGCATATTTATATTTAAATATATATGATATATTTGTATATGTAAATATATGTTCATTAAAAAATTCCATTTTGCTTTACAAATTAACAAACATTTGTTTCCTTTAGCCTTTAATGAGCCCAGGTTAAGCAAAAATAATTTGTCCCCTAGGTCTTAAACCTAACCAAAACTAGCCAATTTACTTGAAGCTTCTTATTATACTTCATTTCTTTTACTGAGGAAAAGCAGTTTTATTTGTTATACTATAGGTGCTGTGGGTTTTATTAAATAGAATATGGTGCTAGAAGGATTTTAGTGAGGATTCAGTTCATAATACCTTTTAAATCTAAGTCTAAGGCTGTCTTGTATCCTTACATTATCACGTTTCAAATTAAACCTGTACTTTCATTATTTTACTGCAGTTGATGAGAAATCTTAAGTTTGATCCACCCGGTAAAAACCTTGGCCATTTGTCTTTTTTTACCTGACTGTGATAGACAACGGGCCCGTAAGTTCAGCTGCAACTGAGCCACTTGAAATTTCAAATCAGTTTTTTGTTTTCTTTATTTTCTACAATTGCTTGGGTTCTGCAAGAGCAACTTCTAGAATGTATAACAATTAATTTCTGTAGTTGCATTTCAGTTTTTTGTATAAAAGTTGTGTAACAGGAACATTAGGCAATAGGAGACCCTGAACAGCTTCATGTGGTGAAGATTTGGTTTATTGGCAGTATTTTAATGTGTCTTTCCTGTTGGTTATTAAATGTTGAACTCTAGATGATAAAGCCAAGCCTCCAAAGGTGAGCTTGTACTCAGTGGCGCCTGAACTCCAGCAGGAGGGGAAGCAGCCCCTACTGTGTGTCGCCTCGGGCATGTTCCCCACTGATGTCCAGTTTTCCTGGAAAAGGAAGAAGGCTGGTTCTCAGGAGGAGCCTCTCCCTGATGAAGAACAACTGGAAATCAAAGAGTCGGATCGTATCGCCTCCCTCAGGCTGGTTGATAGGGATCCTGACTCCCCCTATAATTACACCTGCAATGTAAAGCATGAACTAAAAACTGAGGACCTGGAACCAATAGGTAATGAATATTCAAAGCCTTTGATTCTATTTGGTTAAACTGTATGTTTACTGAGCAAAAATACTGATAACTTTTTGTTTATGCCACAGTGATTACACAAGCGCTTCCAGCTCACACTGCTAGTTCCAGCAACTGGTACAGAGAGAGGCTGTTCTGCCTGCTGTACTCAGTGCTGATAGCCAAGAGCCTGGTTTATTTCTGTGGAATCTCCCTGTTCAGCATCTACTGAAACAGGAAAGCTTCACTCCATCAATGACTCAGCATCTGTCCTTCTGCAGCAAAAGCCTTTTTTTCCCCCCAACATGAATGTAAAGCTTCCATATTTTTAGTTTTAACTGCAAACATAATCATAAATATAATAATCTTGGCAAGCTTCATTGCATTAGCAGCTTTTACATTTGGTAAATGTATGTAATACATTGAGAGATTTGGTACATTTTAAGTGAATTAAATGCTCTATTTGAAATACTGCATATTTCTGTTTTCTTTTTTCACAGGATGTCTTAAAATTGTTACGTTTCTTCTACAAACATTTTACAATTTATCTTTGTGTTTAGATTTTATTTCAAGTTTTTTTGTCTTTTTTTTTCTTCTGTAAAATTAGTTTTAGCTGAAAGTCTGTTTAGCAAGATTAGAGTTTGATTTTTGCAGAAGAAAAAGAGGTGAATCTCATTTAATAAAACACGATTATCTCTTTAATCAGAACATTCTATTTAAATTTAAGTAAAATTTTATAATATATATTTGGTAAAATTAACAAGTAATTAATGAAGACAAGGCAAAAATGTCCCTTTATTTCCTGTTCTATATAACCCAGACATTAAGATAATTTTATTTCATAGTTTATAGATTATAAGAATATTTTGGTACAGGCTGAAATTGTTGCACAGACACAAATTCAGTATATATATAAACTGTTAAGGAATTACAGAATTTGGCAATAGCAGTAATTGTAGACCAGTTAGAATTATTTCGCTTTGTAAATCTATAATATTGCCTGGTGTTTTTTTTAAGTTAAATGATTTTTTTTTCTATTTAACCAGGGAAATATTTACTTTAGAAAAAAAAAAATTTCCAACTTATCATTTATTTGTAATCAGAATAAGATACATCAAAAACGTTAAAAAAAAATATTTTCTGCTGTGTAACGTCAAAGGGACATTATGTAACCTAAATGCTAAATTAAATATTTCATTACAAGAATCTTACCAAGAAAACTTGTGGCTAAGAAGGCTAAGCCTGAACTACAGTTTTTACAACATTTTGGTCAGTTAGTGAGGCATCAGCTTTAATCGGACTCATACAATTAGTTTAATAAATGGCCTGCGTGCAAAGGAATTAATCCATTTGTTCAACAACAGAACCAAATCTGGCCACAGATCAGCAGGTCCCCTCACCCCTTCCTGCAGCTGTGTGGGTTCGTGCTCTGCAGCCCCCATGCCGTTAGCTGTGGCTTTTCACTTTAAAAACACAATGACAGTTACAAGCATTGGCTTAGCTGAGACAGTCATTCCAGGAAGCACCTGTGTTCTTCATTTAACAGAAAAAAGAGCTCAGACCATGAGCATATAGCTGATCAATGAGCTTTGATTGAATTAAATACAAAAACAATGAAGTCTCTGATCTCCATACAATCGTGAAAACTTTGTGAAAAACAGAATCAAAGTTAATAAATTATTTTAGCAGAAAATAAGAGCAATGACAACGTGAAATTATTAAACTATACTAAACTATACTAATATATTCTGCAAATCATTAAATGCTTTTCTGCATTTATTGCAACACTATTTCAATAAATGTGAGAACTGTTCAGCTTCATGAAGAAACAAAGCAGCCGACTGCTTCTGTTCTTTCTGATCAGAGCAACACAGACCACACTGAGGCAAAACACACAAACCACTGACACAAACATGTCAGAGTAGTTTGTTCTTCTGAAGACATGAGCTAGAACAGACGTCCATATTGGTTCGCCTCATTAGTTCAGTTCCTGATGGTTGAAGTCTGGATGTCAAAGTTGGGCTTTTTTTTAGTTCACTTCAAACTGGTTCTGTCTCTGTGGAACAGATCTTCACTGCTTCCCAAGATAGTTTTCAAATTATTCAGATGTACTGTATTGCTGCCAGCCGCTGCTTCGTCTATTTAAGTCCCACAGGGCTCAGTCCTTGGCCCTATACTATTTCCACCCAGTGTCTTTTCATTGTTCCACTGATGATCTATTTGAAGGTCTTTTCAGAACTAAACATTTAACAACAAAAGCGTTAAGGTCCTTTGCATCACTGTCCTGCTATCATTAAGAGCCAGATGGCTTCTTATTTACTGGAACTAATTTCATATCATATTGAAGTCTTTTATTACAGCTCATTGATTGATACAGAATCGTAGTCACACACACAGTCAACAAAAAGCTCTCAGACAGAACATTCCACCTGGAGAGCCTCACACAGAGAAAAGCTTTAGTAACAAAAGTTTTATTGATATAAGTGAAATAGGTTCTTTGGCCTTTCGGGCCTGACAGCCTTTGATGCTGTGAATTGGGATCAGTTTGGATAAATAACCATTGAAAAGGTTTATTCTTCTGTCTAATCTTCCCCTGGGGTCCCAGATGGTCCAGGTGAGCCTGATCAGTCTTCCAGATTTAATTTTTGGCTTAAAAATTTCGGATTGGTAGCTGAACTCTTTTTCCGTCCTGTTCATTGTGATCGCCCATTCAATGTTCCATTAATTACTTTGAAGTTCTGCATACTGTCTCCGCTCTACACATCAGCTCTCTAAACTGCTCACTATCCTCATTTATTCCTCAAAAAAAAGAGAATCAGATGTCCTTCTGTATATCCCTTGATGTACTTTAATATACAAATATCAAATAGAAAATAAGAATGATGAAACCATAAAACACATACATTTGTCAGTGCTAAAATATTTGGCTGTACATTGAACAGACTTTGCCTGAGACTTTCAGAATGGATATGTCCACTTTTGATTTCTTGAACAATCTTCACCATAAACTCAGGTTGGGAGAGCCGACATTCCTTCCCTCTCCTAAACGCTGGTGTCCCGCAGGTATAGGTGTCTGTCCCCTGTGTTTGGAAAAATCTATCTACTATCACATCCCTTCTAATATTAATTATCAGTGCTGATTTGTATTTACTTACTTTAAAAAGTATTCACTAAAAACATCTCACACCTGCAAGGCTACACTGGAAAAACCATCTAGCAATAAGTAAAAATGTCTTAAATTAAGTATATTTACCCTTAATCTGAGTAGGGAAATGAGATGGTTTACCAATGGAATGAGTGTTTTTACTCTTAGAATAAGGAAATTAGATAACATGCACCTGAAATATGACAATGCAATTGTGTTTTCCTAATTAAAATGTAAATTGGCTTGTTCCATTGGTAAAATGCATTATGTCCTCAATTCAAGAACAAATTCACTTATTTCAAGAAAAAATTACTTACCGTATCTAGATTTAATTTTTTTCCAGTGTACACATTTTCTGTATCAGAGGGGTTGTTTTAATACAATTAGAGACTGGAACAGAGGCTAGACTCCTTCGGATTCAAGGTTTTTGCAACATTTTTCTGTTTTCTTCAACTGCCTGTAACTTGTTTTGATTAACTGTATGTGGAGACCTTCATAGCTCTATGCAGGCTTTAAGTTAGTTAGAAAAAACTTGTCTAGACCAAAACAGACAGGAATATTGGCAAGAATCTGATCTTTGCTCCTTTGCAAGGATTAATAAATACTGGTAGGATGAAAACGCCAATCTCAATTTCTTGTTATTAGACCTTTTTTTCCCCGACAGCATCCCCTCTCTGGCAAGGATCAACGTCTGCAGACCTTACCAACACCACTGTGAAATGCCACATGATACTCCCAGTGCATGGTTTTAAGCCTTCCCCTTTGCACCATATCAATAGTTTTTAGCTGCTGTATGGAGGGTCAAAACAACCTCCAGGGTGCATCATCCCAATTCTTTACTTGTGGAGGAGTGATCTCCATGAAATGAAAAAGGGAAAAAAGAAATTTTTCAGTATTAACGAAATTTATTCAAATAAAGCATAACACTTTTTTTTAACAGCACACAACAGAGAATCAAATTTACTTCAGGTCTGTACCACAACTCAATGTTATCCAAAAGAACGGCCCCAATGTTTCCCACCTATTTATCCAAAAGCCTGTCAAGATATAGCCTGCATGTAAGCAGCTTATCTATGGTTGACCAGATGCTGACTTATTCGCCAAGTCAGCATCTGGCTCTCCTCAATGTATAAAGCTCCAGCTCCTGGTTAATTAGCATTTTCCACTGACAACAGCTGTCTTACCTCTTCCATTTTCACACATGAACCATCAAAGAATGTGGACTCACCAATAAGATAAACTGATTGACTAGCGGCTAAATATTTAAAGTAATAAAAGTTAAATTGAGAACAATGTAGTTCAGTGAGAGCATTTTATTTAGCATTTTAAGGTAGTGTTACATAAGCATGAGAAAATGAAGACCTATTTGACCAAAAAATAAAACTTTAAACAAAGATATTAATGAAGTAAATACTCTAAAATCTGGATTATATTTTTTCTTTTTTTTATATCCCGCAGCCTTTTATAAACTCACTGAAAGACCTTTTAAGTCAAGTCAGATTTGACTTTTAGGGCCTTCATCAACATGGTGTCTCCTAGGTACAATCCTAAATAGGAGAAATTAGCAAACATTAAGCAAGCCCAAAAATGAAAATAAAAATAAAGTAAGAGAAGGATAGAGAAGGACAATTCTCTGTAACATAGATATTACAGTGATGTACACAATAGCTACTATAAGTCATAAAACACACAATACAATAAAACATGTATTTTTTTAGTATTATTTGAGTTTTTCTAGTAGGTTTAACAATGTATCTATACAATACTGTATTTTAACTTGGAGTTTTATCATTTTGAAAAAACACTTCATATTGTAGAGCTAATATTGTGATTTTATTCGGTGTATCCTGAAGTCCGTTTCACAAATCAGGTTTAATAAAAACTCAGTTTGTTAACTTTGAAATCAAGGAAAGTCTCAGTTTTCAGTTTCACAAAGAGAGTTAACTAAACCTCTGTGTCTGTTACCATAGTAACATTCTCTGAAATATTTATAGGTAGTGTTCATAGCTGTCCTTTCACATTCAAAAATGTATCTTTAAGAGCCCAAACTTTTCACCTTACAATCCGTCACATATTTCCACAACCTTATCCGTCCTCACATTTGCAGCATTGCAAAGACTTCTTTAATAGATATTTAACTAAACCTGATATCAGTGACAGCATATTGATGTGTGGGATAACAGCGTTATAGAAACCGATTGCACAGTCAAGCAGCCACTTAGTATTTACTGTGTAATGCAACACAAAATCAAGATGAGGAGGAACCCATGAGATGATGCAGAGATCCTACCTGTTTAAACAATATTT